AATTCTGCCTCAGCTGAATTTTCATGAGCTTCGCCAACGATAAGCTGGCTGTTACATGGAACCGTACTCCACCTCGGAGCACAGTATTCCTCTTTCCTCGTAGGTGAGTAACCTCCCGGTGCCCGAAATCGTAACAAACCGCAGATGATTAAAACACAACCACCACAGACTAATACCACACTGAACAAGAAATTTCCGACCGGGAACCTCTCAGCACGTGCTATGCATTACTTCGAGTGGTTGTGTCTGGGATGACATTTTTCGAGCGGAATAATAAGCGCTTCCAGAATGTAATTTCTGCCCCACATTCCACACGTAAATAATAATAATAATAATAAATATTTAGAAAGAAAAAATTAAAAGATCGCAAATTTGCCGCAGTGGACAGCCTCGGCTCGCATGTTCGAGGGTTAGAATTCCTTGCAGAACAAGGACACCCACCAGTGTGCACTTTTAATAACAGCAAATCGTCCTAATATTCGCCGCGTGTCCCAGGATATGGGGTTATACCATGGTGTCGTTCTCTATACAAAGAACAGATTTTTACAGCAAACCATAGCTGCCGACATACAGTATTAAACAGACTTGTTTGTTATCGTTATTGTCAGCTTTCAGGTTCTCACGGCAGCGAGTATGAAGATGGCTGTCTTCTGGATTATTGCGCTATGTAGTATGGTAGATGGTTACCAACGTTTCAGGGGTGCTTAATGCTTCCATCATCAGGGCGATCTCCCAAACCAGAAGGCAGCCATCTTCACTGCTGTTGTTGTTGTTACTGACAGATTTTCATTGAGTATGCGAAGAATGAGAGGCTAATTACAACGACTGAAGGCAATTTCGGGCTTTTCACTATGTTTCCAGTAATGACGTCACAGAGTTTGGCAATTTTATAGAATGAACCCTCTGTGCGATGTTCCCTTTAAGCATCTGCACAATTCCTGATGAACTGGAACAGTCATTAGACTGTCACAAGACCTGTTGCTCATATCAAAGCAGACAGGCATGAAACGATGAAACCCCGACAAAGAGGTTAACGTGGTGAGGGGAAACTGTATGCGCGTACGTGCACAATCCTCCTCGCAATATTTTCTGTATTATTGTTCGTCACCGTGTTCACAAGGGACCAGTCCTTCTCCTGGACCAGGTGAATTCCTGGTTATTCAACTCTCTAGGCCCAAAAATTGTCCTTTTAATCCTATTCGCAGACACCTTCAATCAAGAAGAATGAGATGGGCAGGGCAAGTAGCGCGCGTGGATGGGACAAGAGGTGTGCACCGGGTATTGGTTGGGAAGCCTGAGGGGAAAAGACCACTGGGGAGACCTAGACATAGATGGGAGGATGTCAGGCGGGATCTATGGGAGATAGGAGTTGATGGAGACTGGATTTTGTTGGCCCAGGACAGGGTCTGGTGGAGGACTTTGGTTAATTCGGTGATGAACCTTCGGGTTCGGTAAGCCATCTAGTTAGTTAATATTCGTTTTGTGTATTTAATCTATAAGTTTTTGGACAGCTTTCTTAAACCTTCCATTGGATGAATTTGGATTAAATTTGTAGGATTTGAGGTTTTCACAGCGGTGAGTCTGAAGACGGCTGTCTTCTGTGTTGTTGCGCCGTGTAGTGTGGTAGAAGTTTACCGTCGTTTTAGAGGTCCTTGCGGCCAACAACCCAGAAGACAGCTATCTTCTGGATGAAATTTTATGTAGAGGTTGTGCTGTTCTGCGCGACCTCAAAATCGCACTTTTGAATAACGTACGATAACAAAATTACAATATAAAATAAGCAAGCAAACAAACAACAACAGGGAAATTATTTCATTTTGGTTAAATGAAGTAATTTCCCTGTTGCCAGTGATGATTACCTCTTTAGGTTGAAACGCGTATGACAGTAGTATCTTTTTTATAGTGTTAATAGTTGTTTGTTTGCTTATTTTATATTCTAATACACTACACGGTATACATTAACAAAATTACAGCCGAGGAAAATCGTGAGGTAGACATTGAGGTGTTGCGATCTGGTGGTCAAAGTGGAAACTATTGAGCAAGGCGTTTTTAATGCCTCTAAACGGGCGTTGGATGAATATGCCTGTATGGAATACAGTTTTCGAGCCTACCATCAACAGTTGTCTTAGTGGCAGATCAAATCCTTTTCCACAGATACAAAGGCCTCATGACACGCATTGCAACTAGACACGCGCTTATATTTTTTTGTCGGATTCCAATAAATAAAGAAATTAAAACAGGGCACAGGAAACGAAAGACGTTTTTTGAACTGTATTCGAATAACAATACGCTTTCTCGTTGTATTTTTCAAGCTGCTGTTTTGTTCCTCACACACTGCTGTTAGTGGCATTTAACTCATCCTCACGTCAAACAAGCATGTATTAAAAGTACCAACCTCTTTCGCTTCCTCTTCCTGAACCAGTCCATGATGACTTGGCTTGCCTAATCTCTAGCGAAGGTCTGGCAGGCGAGTGCCTGGGAAACAGCTGATTAGAAATATCTGACTCAAAGCCAGCACGAAAACATGTTGCTAACATAAACACTGCTTCTAACAACAACTGCAAATGTAACTTCTGTGTTTACTGCTCATGGCGTTTTGCACACTCATGCACACAACTACTACACACCACCACCGATCACGGCCAACAACAGACTGCGAACGATGATTTAGATGATGGCCTTCTGAATGCCTTACCCTTACTACATGCGGCCTTTAACGAGCATCACGTTTGTTTCAGCGACTACGCATGCGTCGAACTACACAATATGAAATACTTTAGTTTTGTGAATGTCAATTAAAAGATCGCAATGGAACGTGTCGCGATTATGTTAATCCAACCAATACTCTTTTAATTAAACAAATAACGTAATTAAAAATCTGTTGTAAAATACTTTTTTTATTTTCAGCTCTTAACGTACGGATATTTGGATGGAAATTTTGCAGTTGCACTTGTTAACAGAATAAGGGACGCACCAAAGAGATGTACGTGCACCAACATACAAAAATTACTAAATAAATGTGGTAAATTTTGTCAGTTTCAGATTAATATAATCAACAATTTGTATAAAACGCAATCTTAAATTTGTCTTTGCCGTTTATTTATTGCTCTGGGTTTGACAGCTGTTCCATGTAACTACATAACATGGGTTCTATGTGCTTTTAAATTTTATTCTTCTTATTTTGTTTCACCTAGCAAGGTACAACAGTGTTAATGCTCTATACTTGCATCCTGAAGGTACCTGCTTTAAATTTCTAAGTAATTCTAACTAACGTTTTCGTCGTTCTCAGTGGTTCTTCTCAGGACTTCTCATTTTTAGTTCAGCGTAACCAATGTTGTATTTAAACATATTTACTCTGTATGTTTCATGCATAAGGGTGGTAACGTGACGAAACGTTTATATGTGCTGAAAAACTATTGTTCTACTGAGTTCAATGACAATGATATTTTGAAGTATTAAACACTAATGATTACAAATACACGAAAATAAAAACCAGGAATTTTATGTTAAAACCATACGATGGCTATACTTCTAGTATGACTAAGTGCGGAAAAGGGGACTACTACACTTTTTGTGTCTGATTGTAATAAGTTAAAATTTACGGCAGCGTTATTCGAAACTTGTTTCCAAAATATAATTCTCTCGTGTAGCGTAGGATATATATAAAATAGTTATCGCATGAAAGCATATTTAGGGACCTTTCGAAATGAAAGTAAGAGAACAAATTTGACTTAAACACACAGGTTTTGAAGAAATATTGTGAAGCTAAAATAAGTCTACACGTACTATCTAAGTGTTCAACTCTTTCATGCACGAAAAGTAGAAAATCTGCAGTTTTTCAGTGACTAAATCTAATTAAGTATTCTCCAGCGATCAGCAGTATCGATACAGAATAACATCCGACATTCGTATACTATTTCCGCCGAAGGGTAGAATGGTCTCAGTATAAGTCACTGATAATGTAGATAAACAGTCTCTGGAATGTCGATTTTTTTTATTCCCTGTCAATGCGCCTGGTCGCTCTAAATTTTAGTGCACAAAAACAATCATTGTAAGTCACCATGCTTCTACAAACGCGCACTAGTCCTTGTCACAAAATGACTTTAAATTCGAAAGTAAGAATAAAAGCTTGTGGACAACTTTCTATGTCACATTCACTTTCTTTTTCTAGCTGTACATGTCTGCCAACAATTTAATCAGAACGTGTGCCTTAGAAACAAGCAGAAATCGTCACCATTGGCATCAGGGGAACTTTGGAACTTAACACGCGATATGTTTTCGTCATTTTCCGTTCCCCCCTCTTCTTATTGGAAGAACGACGCAACGCAGTTGGTTTCATTTGTGCACTGTTAGTGATGAAGGAGAATAATTAAGAAAAGCTGTCCACTGACATATCATCTACAACAGGGAAATTATTTCATTTTGGTTAAATGAAGTAATTTCCCTGTTGCCAGTGATGATTACCTCTTTAGGTTGAAACGCGTATGACAGTAGTATCTTTTTTATAGTGTTAATAGTTGTTTGTTTGCTTATTTTATATTCTAATACACTACACGGTATACATTAACAAAATTACAGCCGAGGAAAATCGTGAGGTAGACATTGAGGTGTTGCGATCTGGTGGTCAAAGTGGAAACTATTGAGCAAGGCGTTTTTAATGCCTCTAAACGGGCGTTGGATGAATATGCCTGTATGGAATACAGTTTTCGAGCCTACCATCAACAGTTGTCTTAGTGGCAGATCAAATCCTTTTCCACAGATACAAAGGCCTCATGACACGCATTGCAACTAGACACGCGCTTATATTTTTTTGTCGGATTCCAATAAATAAAGAAATTAAAACAGGGCACAGGAAACGAAAGACGTTTTTTGAACTGTATTCGAATAACAATACGCTTTCTCGTTGTATTTTTCAAGCTGCTGTTTTGTTCCTCACACACTGCTGTTAGTGGCATTTAACTCATCCTCACGTCAAACAAGCATGTATTAAAAGTACCAACCTCTTTCGCTTCCTCTTCCTGAACCAGTCCATGATGACTTGGCTTGCCTAATCTCTAGCGAAGGTCTGGCAGGCGAGTGCCTGGGAAACAGCTGATTAGAAATATCTGACTCAAAGCCAGCACGAAAACATGTTGCTAACATAAACACTGCTTCTAACAACAACTGCAAATGTAACTTCTGTGTTTACTGCTCATGGCGTTTTGCACACTCATGCACACAACTACTACACACCACCACCGATCACGGCCAACAACAGACTGCGAACGATGATTTAGATGATGGCCTTCTGAATGCCTTACCCTTACTACATGCGGCCTTTAACGAGCATCACGTTTGTTTCAGCGACTACGCATGCGTCGAACTACACAATATGAAATACTTTAGTTTTGTGAATGTCAATTAAAAGATCGCAATGGAACGTGTCGCGATTATGTTAATCCAACCAATACTCTTTTAATTAAACAAATAACGTAATTAAAAATCTGTTGTAAAATACTTTTTTTATTTTCAGCTCTTAACGTACGGATATTTGGATGGAAATTTTGCAGTTGCACTTGTTAACAGAATAAGGGACGCACCAAAGAGATGTACGTGCACCAACATACAAAAATTACTAAATAAATGTGGTAAATTTTGTCAGTTTCAGATTAATATAATCAACAATTTGTATAAAACGCAATCTTAAATTTGTCTTTGCCGTTTATTTATTGCTCTGGGTTTGACAGCTGTTCCATGTAACTACATAACATGGGTTCTATGTGCTTTTAAATTTTATTCTTCTTATTTTGTTTCACCTAGCAAGGTACAACAGTGTTAATGCTCTATACTTGCATCCTGAAGGTACCTGCTTTAAATTTCTAAGTAATTCTAACTAACGTTTTCGTCGTTCTCAGTGGTTCTTCTCAGGACTTCTCATTTTTAGTTCAGCGTAACCAATGTTGTATTTAAACATATTTACTCTGTATGTTTCATGCATAAGGGTGGTAACGTGACGAAACGTTTATATGTGCTGAAAAACTATTGTTCTACTGAGTTCAATGACAATGATATTTTGAAGTATTAAACACTAATGATTACAAATACACGAAAATAAAAACCAGGAATTTTATGTTAAAACCATACGATGGCTATACTTCTAGTATGACTAAGTGCGGAAAAGGGGACTACTACACTTTTTGTGTCTGATTGTAATAAGTTAAAATTTACGGCAGCGTTATTCGAAACTTGTTTCCAAAATATAATTCTCTCGTGTAGCGTAGGATATATATAAAATAGTTATCGCATGAAAGCATATTTAGGGACCTTTCGAAATGAAAGTAAGAGAACAAATTTGACTTAAACACACAGGTTTTGAAGAAATATTGTGAAGCTAAAATAAGTCTACACGTACTATCTAAGTGTTCAACTCTTTCATGCACGAAAAGTAGAAAATCTGCAGTTTTTCAGTGACTAAATCTAATTAAGTATTCTCCAGCGATCAGCAGTATCGATACAGAATAACATCCGACATTCGTATACTATTTCCGCCGAAGGGTAGAATGGTCTCAGTATAAGTCACTGATAATGTAGATAAACAGTCTCTGGAATGTCGATTTTTTTTATTCCCTGTCAATGCGCCTGGTCGCTCTAAATTTTAGTGCACAAAAACAATCATTGTAAGTCACCATGCTTCTACAAACGCGCACTAGTCCTTGTCACAAAATGACTTTAAATTCGAAAGTAAGAATAAAAGCTTGTGGACAACTTTCTATGTCACATTCACTTTCTTTTTCTAGCTGTACATGTCTGCCAACAATTTAATCAGAACGTGTGCCTTAGAAACAAGCAGAAATCGTCACCATTGGCATCAGGGGAACTTTGGAACTTAACACGCGATATGTTTTCGTCATTTTCCGTTCCCCCCTCTTCTTATTGGAAGAACGACGCAACGCAGTTGGTTTCATTTGTGCACTGTTAGTGATGAAGGAGAATAATTAAGAAAAGCTGTCCACTGACATATCATCTACTAAGCGTTAGTCAAAAGGTGAGCAAACTCTGCTAAGCAATTTTTTTTATTTCTCGTGTGTGTGTGTGTGTGTGTGTGTATATATATATATATATATATATATAGCACAGATAAAGTATTGTGATTGCAAGACAAAAATAAATAAAAGTTAAGATACAGACGAAAATTTAAATTTCAGTAATCTTGTTGCTATTATATGCTGTTTGCACTTCCTGTACCAAACAGGTTATGAGAAGGTCAAGTGGGGCTTCTCTTGAAACACCACTGTGACCGAATTAATTAAGTGCGTTTTGGTATATCGGTGACACTCCGGTCAGCAGTCGCTTCGAAATAAATCTGTCCACCGACTAAAAAGACATTGTTGCCCATACGTCAGTGTGACATGTTTTGTGCAAGATAAATGTCAGAAGCAAATCTCATTACCTCGGTGTCTGAAAAAACATCTCTCGAGAAAACTATGACCCATACTAAGGAAACACTGTAAATGTAAATAATAATGTACAATTAAAGTCCGTTGCTGTATAGCGTAGACTGTACGCATGCGGAGATAAAAACCCTTTAACCCTTTGAAGACGAAGCTCGTCTAAATATTATTTAATAAATCAGTCCGTACCGCGAAGTAAACACAACACTTCACCATTACAAAAGACAACTGGTTGACGCTGTTTAAGGAAATAATCCCTGTTTACACTAAGAACAATATGAAACCCATATACACAAAACACAGTTATTAACTGTGTGAAGCAGGTGGTACATATAGTTACCACTGGGTCTTAAAGGGTTAACAAAGCTGCCTCGAATTTGACATCCATTGAACACAGATGTCAATAATTTCTCCTGGGGATATTTCCAATATCGGGTCAGTGAACGAATGTAGTCGTATAGTTGTTGGAAATCAGCTTCATATTTGGAAAATCCCAGACTTGAATATCGGCCATTAGACCCTGACTGAGATTTTTATGGTGTTCTCAGTCTCTTCAGGTTAATGCTAGTAAATGGGCCACGACCACTTTCTTTAAGTCCTTATACACTGTCATATTCCGATCTCATTCGACGCCATGTAACATTTTTAGATGAAGCAGCGCCGTTTAGTAATCGAAATCTTGCTTCACTTCGTAAATACAGCTTACACGTCAACATCTTTCTAAAAAACCAATTGGAATGGCGATATTAATTTCTCAAAGGATGCTGTTTTCACCGTCACCCGTCTCTGCAAGATTAAGTTCCTAGCGTTGTTAGTTGGCTGGCGCGGTGTGAAATTGCATATTTAAACATAATACAGTAATGCGGTATTAGTTACAAGCCTAATAACAGTGTGAACAGGGTTACGAGTTCCATCGATGCAATTCCAGATTTTCTTCACTGGCCGTCAAGTTACGTAACGGATTCACTCTGTGAGGAAAACACGCGAAATTTTGTAAACTACATTTCTGTATTTAAAAAGGACACTGATGATTGAAAATAAGAGAGGCCAATGAAGTTGCAGACGAGCTGGAGGATTCTCAGCATAGGCAGAAATTTTTGTCACCACGTCTGTACCAGCCAGATATGAATTCCACTGAGCCTGTTATTCAATGGGTACCGGTGAGGGGACTGTCTTCTCCCTATAGTTAAGAGGCCGGAGCGTGAAGCTAACTATTCACCTCCATCTTATGTTGAGATTTGGAAAGTGAAATATTTCTCACATTGTGGTCTTCTGAGTTGTGACACCATGAAATCTTGTCAACGGTTACTATATAATGCATACAGAATAAAACTATGCCAAGGATCCTTTCACCTCAAAGTAGGCCTGCTACACAGACTTTTTGTACGTACTTCCTACGACATCCTCATTATCCCAAAATAATCAGTAACCATTTCCTTACCAAAATTACAAGCTACCAATATACAGTAACATTACATTCTCATAGATGTTTTACTTGTCATATTACAGGACCTCATGATGAAAAGACAACTGTTTCATCGTATTTTGAGGCACACGCTATTAAATAATGAACATAAATCTCTTTATTCTCTGCCTCTGCTACAATGGCACTGTAGAACGCAAGACTGTGAGGCGGTGTGTCTAAAATCGACACATGCGAAACACAACACAGGTTAGTGGATTCTTAAATTAATATTTCTCAGTACATAGTGCCTCTGATTATCATTTGAAATGCCCATCCAACCGCAGACTTCAACATTCAATATGACGAAAATTTAACAAATTACAGGGAAACATAACCTGAATTTTCACTTTTCCTTACATATACTCAGCAGGGCTGTCAATCAATACCTGTAATTAATTAAACATGTTGTATCTGTTAATTCACTGCTGAGTCAGACCCATTTTATCACATAAATCAGTAACCATATTATAACTAAATTAATAATAACCAAGTTATCTGAAGCTAGAAAGTACTGTATTTGTTCAGGATGATTTCAAACAGAGAACTGATGAAAGAATTTTGGATGGTCGGATTAATAATGTTAAAAATATACAACTGCAACACATAGCAATAATAAACATGCTATGAACTTAGCAATCTCAGTGTTTGCTTTTTTTGAGACTAAAGAATTTATGGAATTCAGTTGTATTTACATAATGGCAAAATAAAATAATCAGCACTTAAATATTTAAATAATATAACCCCAGTACTTTGGTTAATAAAGTTCTCCTAATAAATAAAAATCTTTACTGCTGCCTGGGTATAATTTAAAAAGTGTTAATCCATTCACACAGGCCACATGAACATCCAACAAACATATTTGGAATTATGCAATCCGTCTTGGCCGGATTCCCTCAAACTAAACTATGTATGGCTACGGGATCACTGCCGGTAGGTGTGACTACAACGCAAACAAAAACAATTTCATAATCTGAGTTCTGCAAAATTTTCTGCAGAAAATTGGGGTAGGGAAATCATGATGGAGATGGGTTTTGAAAAGATTCTATGGCAGGTCAGAGTACAACTATTCAGTTATATCTGCAGTAAGGCACAGTTATCCGAAGTTACTGATGGGTTTCCTGCTTCAGTTACTAAAATTTCACAAAGCAGTAAAAAATTGCATAACGGCCTCAGCAGTCTACATGTAATAGCTTTCTTACTCTGTTACTAAATAAAGGAAATTACTCCAGAATGACCAACCCCGAACAAATAATATACAAAGCTTACTTTTTGATAGTAAATAATTATGTATTAGTCCTGGCTACATAAAGCAGAATCCTCTTTGAGAAGCTAGTAGTTGCTTGACTAGATAAGGACTTCCCCATCTATGGGAGCCAAAGATTCATTACCATGTTCCCAACATCCTGCCATGGACCTGAACTACATGAATTCAGTCTCTGCCCTCATACTTTAAGATCTATTTTTATATTGTCCTCCCTTTACTGCCTAGCTTCTGAAGTAATCTTCTTTCAGGTTCCCTACTAAAATTTATGTTTTATTAGTCTATGCAAGCCACATGCCCCACTCCACTTCATAATTGGTGAAGGTTATAAATTATAAATTTTCTCCCTATGATTATATTGCTTCCATATTAAATTTTTCTTTTTAGCTGCAACAACTGTTACAACCATACAACAAAGCAAAGGAACTGTGATCTGCTGGACATCCCACTAAACATTCAACCTCGAAGCAGTACAATGGAAGGAGACAAACTCATTATAGCATGTAAGTCAAATAAGAAAAAAGTGTGTTCCATGCAATGTCAGGGTTCTGCAAGACAGAATCCAGTAACAGAAGATAACAACCAAGGTTTAACTTTCATGAGTAAAGTGGTAAATGAATGAGAACTAGTTCATGATCTGTGCTGAATAAAAAGTATGTACCCAAACATGCAAATCATAATTAGAATTTTTCCTCATGAAAAGGGGGTACGAAATTGTACATGACTATAAATATGTATCACATGTAAATCTTTGCTCTATTGTGAGTGCAGGCTTATGAACACAAAACATTACACATGTATTATAAAACTATCGATAATCAAACCGTGTGTGCGTGCGCATGCACACATGCATGCATATATTATTAATTATAATTATAAAAGATAAGATATTGCCTTTTTCAGACTACAATGTGCAAATAACAATTTCCTATAAAAATTTGCATCATACCTGAAACCTTGTGGTAGCATACCAGTTGTGAAACACTGATCTATACAAGCTTCCTCTTTTAATTATTATGACTTATGATTAATCTTTATTGTATGGTAATACAGGATTTAAAATCCCATATTATGCTGTGGCTGGCTGAATTTTATCTTTGTGATTATCAGATTAGCAATATGATGTTTACAACAGTTACACTTCCAATGTAAGGTAGTTAATAATTAAAATGACCCTTCCTGTCCAGTCATGATCTAAGATTGGCTGTGTTCTCTATTGAATAGCTTTATAAGTACTTTAAATGGTAATTCTTGTTCCAGAAATGTGTACAACTTCCTGACTGACAGACACATATAACATTCAATAATTTTCATGTTTGTACAATATTTTTTTAAGGTATTGAATTGCATCCCCCTAAATTTTTGAGTTAAAATTTTCACACTTTCACTTAAAATTAATGAGATTCAGATTTATTATATTCAATGGCATAGGAAGGAAGCCTGCATGACACCTAAAAATAGATGGCACCATTTCCTTTCCAGCAAACTATCAGAAACATGTGAAATGGGATCTTATAAGAACACTGTTTTTAGGGCCAAACGGACACAACTCCGAGTACGCACTTGAGTGGCTGTGGAAGAACAGTTACAATGGATTAAAATATTCACACATATACGACCCTAAACTGTGGGACAAGCAGAGCATGGAATCAGGCAACATTGCACGAGTGGACTTGTGTCAGTATATGAACACAGAAAAAGGTGTTTATGATGTTATCAAGTCTATTGTGGATTTTGGTATTGGAATTGTAAAAAATGTGAGTGTCAGGAGTTATGTTTTATGAACAATATCAGACTTGTCAGTAACTTCATGATATAGACATACTGGTTGCTTGTTGTTGTTAACCCTTTGTGTTGGCATTTAAACGGTACAATTAAATTTTCAGTGTGGCTGTGCCCAGACACACAAAAAGAACAATGCTATTATATATTCAACCAGTTCACAAGAAATAAATTATAAATGTGTGAAAAACAAGGTAGTCACTTGAAAATTCAGGGATTAAGCTTCTCATGTCACTTGATGAATTCAAGGCCGCCATCTTATGTCACGAGTCAAACTTGATATTCCAATGCAAATAAATAAAAAGCTTTTTAATCCTTTAAACGCTCAAACTAAATATTTAATTTAGAAAATATTATTTCCTTGCATGAATGTTTATTTGACAGTACTACTTTAATTAACCTCTGGTTTCATCTTGGGAAATTATAAACTAAATTACTCCAATTTGTGACTTTTCAATCATGGAAATATACAACTAATGCCATACAGCAAAGTCCATTTTATTTGATGAATGCAGAATATATAATCAGTAGCTGATTCCACATTGATGATCCCCAATAATTTTGTCTTTATGTATATGGAGTTAACCTTCGCAGAATGCTGGATAACATTTTGTATGTAGCTGAAAACAGTGATATTCCTTCACACATACTAGTCAGTTTTATCATTATAAAAGGTAATACACTAGTCACTTAGCAAATCAGGAAATTCTGTGCCTTTTATAGAATCTGAAGGTTCATTACCATGTTCATAAACAGAAAAAATCTACAAAGGTTTAAAGTATAATTCTTCATATCATAATATAATGTATATACAATTTTAAGCAGGTACCCGCAACAGTGGAAGCCACGGAGAAAGTTGTGCAACAAATCGCACATGTTCAGCATACCATGTTTGGTGGCATGTGGGAGTTCAGTGATCATCTTGTTCATTATGATACCGCTTACACACACCAGGCCTTAGGAGCGCACAACGACAACACCTACTTCACTGAAGCTGCAGGGTATGCATGCGTCAGTACCTCACACACAAAATTCTTTTGTCCAGTTTTCCGTTTTCTATATCCGGAGTGGTTGCCTGGGAACCACAACAGCTTTATAGTGCAAAAGCAATCTATATCTATGACCACTCCATTTTCTGGCAAATGTTTAATGGTTTCAGCAATCACTACGCCAGTCACCACAAGAAATTTTGCATAAATTAATCTATATCCACTGCTTTTTCTGGTTAGTTTCTTACATAGCATAAAATGATAAATATCCACCAGTTTCATTGGCTGTAACCATTTAATCCATATAGCAACCTATATGAAGTGACAACACTTTCTGCACTTTCTTCAGTATATTTCCTTTCTTTTTAAGAGGACTATACAGCGTGTATCTAAAAGATCTGTACAGACTTTGGAGGTGAGTTCTATACAGTCGAAGTTCACATAAACATGGATCCACAAAAACATCCTTTTAGAGGTACAGCCCTGAAAGGACTCTTATGTATTTAAACTGGTGCTGTAATTTCTTCTTGGATTCAGTACATACCTAGACATGTCATATCACTGACTTGTGAAAATATCATGTCTATTAAAAACTGTCTCATTTGTAAACACCACTGAAGAAACAAAGGAAGGGTTGACACACTGTTGAACAAGCCACAGACAAAATGCCTTTCATGCTGGAACATTAGCTGGCACGAGACAATGGAGTTGCTGTAAATCAGTGGTCCCCAACGCGGTGCCCGCGGGTGCCATGGCGCCCGCCAAGGCATTTTTTGGGTGCCCGCATTGTTACAGAAAGAGGTTATACTGAATAATGAAGGCCGTTCAACCATGAACATTGTAAAATCAAAGCACAGATTTCGACTTACTGATGCCCATCTTGACGATTGTTTGCGAGCAGCAACAACATCCTACACTGCCAAATTTGAAAAACTGGATGATAAAATGTAGTGCCAAACATCACACTAACTTCCCACTTGAGTAATAATAATTGTACTTATAAAACTACGTATTTTTGATTGCATGGTTTCTTGTATCATTAAACGTCGTGTTGTTTTGTGTATTATTTGGTGTCCATATCTTATTTGTCCAGGGAAAAGAAAATTTGGCTTTGTTAATTGGTTGGTGCCCGCCACGATCTCATAAACTCTCAAATGTGCCCGTAGGCACAAAAAGGTCGGGGACCACTGCTGTAAATGGTACAGGTACAGAAGTTGTTTATGCTGGACCCACCAGATGGTTATTTGCAACTCTGCCACTATGCTTCTCAGGCTGACACCAGGATTCTCGTCCACACGGTGCAGGATATGATCCTCGTGACAAGGTGTCTGGATGACTCACTCTCTTACTCCAGCTCACAGTAACATGCTGCAGTGTTCCAGTCTCTCTGAGTTGACAATCAGTGGCAGTAAATGTTCTATGGTTTGGAAGTTCAAGATTTATTTTCTGGGATATTGCACCATGCAATCTGGTATATGTTAAATGTGAATTTAGAGGAGCTTATTGCTTTTGTCATTAACATCTGAACAAGCCTTTGGTGCCCTATAATACAACCACTGAAACTGGGAATATAAGTTGAAATTGTCACTACAAGGTGAACTATGCAGGGTTGTAACTAGAAAAGAATGCATTTGAGAACTGATGTTCACATAAACGCCATGTATATTTTCTGCAGAACTAACCTCTAAATTTGCCCAGACCTTTCAGACACATCCTGTACATTTATAAGATTTGTTCACTAAAGAAAAACTCAAGCAAAGAATAGACACTAAAAAATCATAAAAAATAATATTTTACCAGTTACAGATGTTAAAACATCTATCGAGGGAAACAAATTAGTTCTACAACAGGATAATTAGGCCTACAAGTGGGGGAAAAATGGAGTGAGAATATACTTCCCTCACACCTACTCAGATCAGTGAAAACCATACACATGTATGTTGCTGATTAGGCTGCAGGTTTTCCACTGCCTGCACCATAATGGAGGAGGAGGTGAGACTTTGCTAGTGGATGGATTCCGAGCAGCCTATGATCTGAAACAGACACATCCTGAAAGCTTCAAGCGGCTCAGCACATTACCCATTGAAGCCGAGTACCTGGAGGCTGGAAAACATTATGTCAATGTGGACTCCATGTTTAAACTACATCCCCTTACTAAGAAGCTGCAACAGATAAGGTACAGAAGTAACATAATTTAAGATAACCTATAGAGATCAAAGTTCTCATAGTTCATGACAGATACTATTACAAAGACAGAGACACAAGGACAGAAATACTTTACACATGAACATTTTCTCAAAATAGTATTAAAAATTTAGTGGAAAATAAATTGCTTATAGTTTCTAATATCAAGAAAAAGTATGGCTTCTAGATTCCACTGTTATTTTATCTGACATATTATCAATGAACATTATTTAAAACTGTACACCCAGCATATGAGCTATTTTGTGTTAACTATCTTCATGTAATTCACTCATATTATCAAAGTTCTTAGATTTTAAATTCACAGTCATCTGTACAAGATATAAACACATGTAATAAGCTCCAAGGAACACAATTCTTGAGAAGCTGATACTCATTCAGCTGCTTGAGGAATTCTTTGCCTGTTACAGAAACTAAAAGGTCATTACCATGTTCACAAAAGACCACAACTGGACCCTATACACAGAAAATATGCATGAAGTTGCATGTAAGAAGTGTTCACAGACACACAGAGAAAATGCTTATCCCCTAAAATTTTAAAACTCACTGAGTCATAATGCACACTCCCTACACTTGATCTTCATGGTGCTGTCTGTCTGCCTGACATACACCTTACCACATATTGAATGAAGACCTTGAAGCTCTGGTATTTGCACTTGCAGGTTCAATTTATATGACAGGGCACCAATGAGAACATTGCCAGCTGAACAGATTCATCAGCTATATGAAGATATTCACCTACTTGCTGCAAAAGTGAAGGATCCAGAAGGGGAATGGTGGCTTAAACTCCATCCTGGCACGGTTCTGTTTATTGACAACTGGCGAGTTCTTCATGGGCGAGCATCCTACACAGGTCTCAGGAAGATGACAGGCTGTTATGTAGGCCGAGCTGATTATGTCAGTAAAGCTAAAGTTCTTGGAATTATATAGTGTCCTTGCATACGACAAATGGCAGAAAAAGAGGACAACATACTGCTGTTGAGATACTAGCTGGTGATTGTATTTTAGCATATTATAAATGCAAGATCCCATTTACTTTTTGCAGAAGTAAATTTCAAATTTGAAGAAAGATATCTAATTATGAAAGTCATGTACAATTTTCACAAATATGTTTTATATATCTTACAAAATGAACACATATAGGGACATCACACCAATTTGTTTATCCAAATGTTTAATCTCTTAAACTAGTGAATGGACTTACGTTTTGTTCATATAAGCTCAACATAATCCCATCATTACAAGAATACCACATCAAACTTTATAAATATTCTCAAACTGTGCAAAAGTTTTGTATAAAAATACACTGTCATTAAGATCTATAACTTTTATTTTAAAAGTATTCAGTGAATATTAAACAATGTGCAAGGACAATGTTGTAACTTTATACAGGGTTTGCAAAACTGCAAATAATGCATGTGTGTTCTACACTGGAGAACAAATTTTGATATATTTGATGAATTCTGTACGTGTCAATTGGGAGACAGAATGGTAGGCCGCACAGTGCTTTGCATGGTGCATTAATATCCTTGAATCCTGGCACGTGAGCTGACTACTGAGAGACGATGTAAATCATCATCTCAATACTACTTACATTTTTAATTACCTGCTTTGTTGGAATAAAAACAGTGCTTCTACTAGTTATCAAAACATTCTTCAGAGCATCTAAACACATGTACATTTAGCAAAGAATTCTCTGTTTGCATTTTGAAAATTAATATAAAATCTTATCTGAGGGTTCTTCACATGAAACACAATTGAAGCACAGCAAGCAAATATGGCCAGTGTGCATAACACAACAGCAATTAACCACTAGCTGTGCAACAGAATGGGCACATTATAGCAAACAGTCTGACATGGTTAAATGACTCTGTTGGGTCAATCCAAACAGGGCTGTTTAATCTGACATCAGTGGACCATTGATGCTAGCATTTAAGGACCGTGACATCACCATCAATGCACAGTGCTACAGCGGAACCCTTCAAGACCTTGGTACCACCATCAAGAGATAGTGTCCCAACACACTTGTGAGGAGTTTCAGCACACTGCATGACATTGCCTGTCACTATGTGGCCTGTACTGTCCAGGGCAAATTGTGCTCCATGTGCTGGAAAGTGATGGATCATCCCCCATACACCCTGGATGTAACACTATGTGACTTACAACTGTTTAAACCTGTAGAAAGTGCTGAAGGGCTACAATTTCAAGTCATATAAAAACATCATGACTACCACTGAAGAAGGGTTCCAGCAGCAGGTGAGGGCATTCTTTGCAGAGGGGATCCATCAGCTGGTGCATCAATGAGATGCTTGCCTTAATGCCCATGGGGATTATCTTCAATGGCCTCCACACTTACAGCCAGAACAATATCGAATAGGTTTCATTTCAACAAGCTTCATAATGTTAGTATTCAATTTAAAATGATTTATTTGTATACAAATAAATAAATAAAAAACCATCACCAGAATATTGATTTTTTATAAATTAAATGCAAAATAATGTTAGGAACTCTGTGAAATGTCTACATGGAAATTTGGGAGCTACACATACACTTATTTATAAGGAAGTTAGTAAAAATGGTCTGGCCTTCTGTATTATGTCTATTGTTGGGTCCAGTGACTTTCCAAGACCTTCTACAACCATGATGGCTAATATGATGGATGAGAAGCTACCATCTAGCTTCACCTTGTGTTCAATCATCGTAGAGAACAGAGATGTCATGATGGTAGACACATCAATCTACAAAGAAAAAAAAATGTTCCTGTTAATAACAGAAGATGCTGATTCTGAAAATCACTCCTCTTCTACCTGCAGATGTCAAGGTCTGATCCTGGAAATGATGTTGTAATTCACGTTTCTGGTGCCAGCACGCACATTGTTATTAATGCCTCTGCCCAGTATAGGTGAATCATAATATCAGTGACATTACAAATTACAATCTGTCAGGCCCTTCTACAGCTGGGAAATTTTAAGTTTAACTGAACACAGCTATGTTTCATTAACAAGATCATTTTATTTTTAACACCACAGCCAAGGCCTCTATATAGCCTTCTGTATGGTTATTCTTGCTGTCATTTCCTAACAGTTAATTACCTTTAATAATAGTCTGGAATCCTGCTTCATGCACATTTGCATACAAGTCAACAACACAGGTATGTGTGACGACATGAATGCTTATCCCCCTCCAAGTGTATATAGAAACAAACAGTCATAGAAGATGGCATGCCTCTAAACATAAATACACAATCACACGCATGCACACACACACAAAATCTGTCATTTGAGGTTCTCATTTGTGATGTAGATGTCAATACTGGCTTCAGGATTGTGACTCCATGTAATCTTATAGTTGGTACATACCAAATCCATCTTCAGGATTAATCATACTTCTATCCTGAAGATGGAGATGATACATTTCTCCAAAACTTTGGTAACCATCTACAAGACCACATAGTGTCACAAGCCAGACCACAATGAACATTCAAATTACAACATTACTTCTAGACAGTCTGATCAAGGATTTTCTGTTGTTAAAGGAAACAAAGATTTATCATTGCAGCCACAAGCTCAGAAAATGTTTTCCATACCAGAATACACATAATATCATCATATGTTCTTCGCAATGTGCAATCAGTCATAATGCGTTCTTGCTATGCACTTTGTGCAAAGAATAAATAGAAACTTCCCATTCTTGAAAAAGCTGAATTCAATTAAAATGAATCTTCACATCATACTTCTCTAAGATCCACTTTAATACTATCCACCATCCAAACCCAGATTTCTAAAACCATCTCTTCTTGTAAGGTTTCCCCATGACTGCCACATACTTACCCACTACCTTGTCAATTTTATCACCCAAACACTGACAACAGAATTTATCAACACACTTTTCACAGAATGTGAGAAAATTATTAACAGTATTTCTACGCTGCTCATTAGTAAATCTCACCAAAGTCAGACACAGACACAAAGAATGTTTACATATGACTGAATCAAGTTAGCAACCATTATAATCACAAGTGACAAATGAACTCCTCTGGGATTACTTGCTTAACTGTTTACATACTAAATAAGAAGAAAAATACAGCACAGAACAGTGCACAATAATCAACTTAGAGTACATTCTGAATAGCATTTGAAACTTGCATGAAGAACAGTTCATCAACAACCTACAGATCAGTCTTATCAGTCCACTTTAGCCAAAATATTAAGATTAACATTCTGAAAACCCAAAAGTGTAAGTCATGACTACTTCAGAGCGCTGCATACTTATGTACAACATGGGATCCCCATTTAGTATTCCTTAATTTAAGGTTTTACCTTATTTAGTGATAATTATTGTTCCAACATAATGATAGCATAAAATTTATCTTCACTGTTTTTCCATTTCAATTTTCCCAAATTTAGTATTTGAATCTGTTGCTTCCAAGAAGTATCCCACTGTTATTCACTGATTATGTCTGACACAATTATTTATGCAAATATAACAACAATGAAGGAAAATTATGAAACATAACATACTTGTTGTAATGTAACACTCCTGTTCAATGCAGAATTAATAATTTCACTCATTCTGCATTTGAAACTCTCTGGGTCTGCACACTGATGACTGGAATGATTTAGAAACAGTTCACCAACTTCTTTTCCCTGTAGTAAGAAGAAAAAGTAGTATTATGTCACATGGATTTTTGTGGAATTCATTATATCAAGTAAACACTCTACTACTTTCAAATGTCCAGGAAAGAACCATCAAGCAAACTGGCAGCCAAACCAAACATCAATCCTCCTTCCATTTTTACTTAACAATCCAGGATACAACACGAATTTATGGCTTACCCACTGGGCATACAGAGCCATAGCTTTAATTTCAAGGGTAAAGATGGACTTAGCTGCAGGAGAGGATACAGACTTACAACTAGGAGAAAAGAGGTCCACATGGAAACATACTTGGAGGCAGAGCTGTGGATCGAGTAACACGTCAGTGACAGTTGAAAGCTGAGTAAGTAAAATAAATGTAAAACAACACGTGAGTGTATGACTGAGATTATTTCACTGCGATTACATAAACATGAAGACAGACATGTATCATCTCATAAAACTCTAATACACATTATCATACTGTGCATAAAACATACAAATAAACCACTACTTACATCACCATTTGCGACAGCTTTAAACACTCCTTTAAGACACTGTTTTCCATGGTCATCAAGAGACGCAATGATTCCACAATCAAGAATCACTATGGTGACTGGGTATGTTACTGATTTTGAAATTAAACGACTCCAAAATTTCTGCTGCTTTACATCACTAGCATCCTTTTCTCTGACCAATATATTCCCAGGATGTAGATCACCATGCGCAAAGTTATCTTCAAACACCTGAAACAAATCTGATAAATTATTATACACGGAAATCGAACCAAAGTGGAAAAAGTTTTCTCTCGAATAAGAAGAGTATAAAGAATTCAAAATGTTAATTATAGAAACAGAGAACACAAACATGTATAAATAATTTCAAAAAATGCACACAAATTATAAAGAGGATGAATTACCAGAAAGAACCAGTATAGAAAAGAACCTTCAACTGGTAGACCACTGAGTGTGTGTTATACCGGTAACCAGACAAAACCGCACACGAAAATTGCGCACAGAAAGAAGCTCACTGTCATAAATGCTCACACAAAAATTACTCACACGGACAAATGCTCACACTGACAAATGCACACACTGATAAATGCTCACACGTACGAATGCTCACATGGACGAATGCCCATATTCACAATACTATAAGTAATCGGAAGCGTTAACTGGTTACCGTAGTAAACCGACGTTTCGGAATCAAATTCAATAAAATCTTCTCGGGCAATCAGCCGCGTTAACGTGGCTGATTGCCCCAAAATATGTTATTGATGCAGTATTATTATTGACATGACCAAAGAATATGTTTATGAACAAAAGTTTGTAACGGT